GGATTTAGTTAGAAAAAAGAAATTGAATTTTAAGAAATATTTTCATATATGATCAAAATGTTTTTAACTAGAATTGTATTTGGTTTTGCAACAACTTTAAATTTAGAAGTTGAGCAACTTGATGTGAAAACAACCTTTCTTCATGGTGACTTTGAGTAACCTAAAGGTTTCACAGTTAAAGGCAAAGAGAAACTTGTTTACAACTGAGGAAGAACTTGTATGGACTTAAACAAGCTCAAAGAGAATAGTATAGGAAATTTGATTATTTTATGATGAATCATAAGTAAGATAAAATCTCTTATGATATCTACGTTTTTGTTAAGAAATTTTTTGATAGAAGATTTATTATTCTCTTGTTTTATGTTGATTGTTTGTCATGACATGAGAGAGATTCAAAGTCTTTAAAGATAATTGAACAAGTTCTTTGCAATGAAGGAATTAATGTAATGCAAATCCTTGACATGAAATTGCTCGTGACAAAAAGAATGGAAAATTATGATTATCATAATAAAAATGTATTAAGAAAGTATTAGAGAGATTTTATATGGGGAAATTTGAAATTTGTCAACACTCCACGTGTAGGTCACTTTAAATTAAGCTCAAAGTAGTGTCCTACAAATAAGAAAGAAAAAGAAGAAATACAAAAATATCATATTCATCTACAATTGACAATTTAATATATGTTATAGTGTGTAGAAGACTAGACATTGTTCATGTTATTGATGTTGTTAGTCGTTTCCTTGCTAATTCAGGCAAAGAACATTAGCTAACTATAAAGTGAATACTTAGGTACCTTAAAGGTACTTCTAGAGAGTGTTTATGCTTTGAAAGTAGTAAGCCTATATCAAATGGTTACACAAATATAGACATGGATGGTGATGTAGATTCTAGGAAGTCTACTTCTAGATATATGATGACTTTTGTAAGGGTAGCAATGTTATCACAATCCAAATTACAAAAATGTGTTGCTCCATCTTCTCCATAGGTAGAATATATTATTATAGAAGATACAAAGGAACTTTTGTGGATGTAGAAGTTCCTACAGGAGTTACAACTTTCACAAAAAGATATATTTTGTATTGTGATAGTCAAAGTGCAATCCATCTCAACAAGAACTCGACATTTCATTCAAGATCCAATATGCATACTGAGGTCCAATATCATTGGATATATTATACATTGGAGATGAAACAATTATCATTGAAGAAGATCCATACAAATGAGAATGACTTATATACGATGACAAAATCTTTACCTACTGAAAATTTTGCTATTTGCAAGGAGAAAATAGGTTTGGTTAACTATAATCCCAATTAATTATAAGGGGGAGATTCGTTCATTAGATCACCAATTTATTGGATCCTTGTTAACTAAGGTAAAAGAATAAGGATATTTTTCTTTATGTGCTACTAAAATATAAGATTATCTTTATTTATATGAGTTTTTTAGGAAAAACAGAGAACATAAGACAAGGAATAGAGAATAGAGAAAAGTGTGTCCAACGAGAAACTAAAAAAAAAAAGGTTTTGTTGTTTTCATTATTCTGTATTTTAGTTCTTTGTTGTTTTATTAGATACTTATTAGGGCTATTTGTTATTTACTTTATTAGCAAAGAGAAATTGCTTTGTTGATCTTGGTGACTCTAAGAGGACTTAGATTGTACTCATTAATTATCAATGAAAGTATTTGCCAAAATAGGTCCCCATGAGTTTTTTCCTTCATCTCGAGGGTTTTCATACGTTAAAATTTAGTGTCTTCTTATTTCCTGATTTTCTATTTTTTATGTACACTCTCATTTATTTGTTATTTGATATTTTTGGAGCTTATTGTCACTTATACAGGAAAAAAGAGATTGTTAGGGTATTTTGATATATATTATTTTACTATTTATTTCTTGATCTAAGAGCATTTTTTAAGCAAATTATTTTATTCATAAACCATGCATTTAACATATTTTCATTAAAAGTATAGCATAATTCAATTTTTCTTACTTTGTTACATGTTGCATACTTTTAGCATAATAAATAATATACATGTATATATCCATAGTGCATATTTTTTTTCTTCTTTTGTAAGAGAGGTAGTTGAGATGGGCCAAATTGATGGAAAGAAATGTCCAAATTAATGCCATCAAGCTTCATTCTTTTCAGAAGCTCAAATTTGCTTATGCAGCCCATTTGCAGAACATTACAAATGAAAATTTTGAATAAAGAAATTAACTGGTGCGGAAATCCAATTTTACTGAATTAAAGACCAGCAAGAATCAAGAATTAATTGCAAAATCAGTGCTAGACCAGTCAAAACAGAAAAGAAGCAAATTATTTTCTGCGAATCAGTCCTAGAAATTTATCTTCACAACAATCCAATTTTGTAATTTTTTATTTGAGAAACATTTAATTTTTTTGTAAGTAATTTTAGGCTTAATTTCTCTTGTTCAATCCTCTATAAATAAAGGTTTTATGAAAACACAATCACAATCTCTTGTTCCGGGGTGAGAACTAATATTTTGTCTCATCCCCTTATCTTTTTCCTACTCTCAGTTTTTAGTTAGACGACTTTATCTACGGCTAGTACACTTCGAATTTGTTTTCTTTTATTTAATTTACAATTTCTATTGAATTTTCCAGTTTATATCGTTTTATTTACTTTATCCATTTAGTGCTTATTTTAATTTATGTTATTTAATTATTTAAACTTTTTATTTTATTCCAAGTATTATTGCTTAATTTTCATTTTAAATTCATCTTTTCCAATCCTAATTCTTAATTTAGTTTTAGAGTTATCACTTCCAGAAATTTTAAATTTAACTATTGCACTATTTTATTTTAAAATAATTTTTTATTCTTTTATTTTAATTTTATCAATTTTAGTTGTTTAAATTTTGCATCAATTTAATTTTAATTACTGCACTATTTATTTTAAAGCAATTTTTATTCTTGCACTTTTAATTAAAAACACTTTGTTTTAATTTTATAAATTTCAGTTATTTAAATTATGTTTCAATTTTATTTTAGCTGTCGTTAATATTCTATAGCAAATTTATTTTAATTTTTATTATTATGCATCAATTTATTTCTTTTTTACTATTTTATCCATCTCATATTTACTATTTAGAGAAAATGATACTGTAGTAATAATTATGTTCCTATAATTATATCATTGTAAGATTCAACATGAGTTAGTTATAATACATTAATTTAGTAACTTGTTTATTATTTTTCTAGTATTTTATACTACAAAAACACTGACTAATAAAGATAGTTTTAACAACATGACATAAGTCAATTACACTAGAGAATATGATATTACATTCTATCTAAAATCTTAAAGTATTATATTATGGATTTTCATCACTTATAAATTTCTTAACTTTTTTTTATTTTTACTAAAAAAAATTTCAATTTACAAGTTCCTAATCCTAACTGATAAACCTCGTCATGGAAGATAATGAGAGCTAGGGACTAGATTTACCCTAGATTTAGATTAGTTATATAAACGTGAGTGCTGGACTTAAAATATTAGAAGTGCAAATCTAAATGTAAGAAATAAAAAAGAGGAGTGAAACAGAGAAGCCAAAGTGGACATTGCTGTAGCACGGGCACTGCTCCATTTCAAACTATTTATAAATTCATCTCCCAAAAGTGAAATACTGATATAAAAATGAAATACATTATTGAGATGAAATTATAAAGAAAATAAATTAGTAGTACAATCTCATAAATATCTATTTATACAGGTATGATTATAGTAATCTCATTAATGAAATTTATGCATATGTGCACAAGGTTTATTTGTATTTGATTAGCTTTTAAAATTAGATCTAAAATAGAAAGTTTTTGTTTTTTTTTTCTTTTTCCTATCCTTTTCCAAGTTTAAGTTTATTTGGTCTGTTTCGGGTTCGCATTACATTAGATTATATATATGAAACTTTTAATCAAGAGGCAAAGACTAATAATATTGTTAATTTCAATTCCAATGGTTTTTCTTAGAGTACATGAACCCGTGAAAACATAATGATCAATTTTAACAGAATAATATGAATCGGGGAATTTTCCTTACTTAGAGTGAACAAATATGCTTTTAATTTTAGTTTATATATATATAAAAAAATTGAATTAAGAAGATATATACTTTTACTTTATCATTTGTTTACTACCTCTCTTTAATTAAATAAGTTAATTTTGTTTCCTGCAAAAAGTACTACGGTTTCTGCACACACAAAAAAAGTATTATAGTTTCGGGTAAAAACATTACTTCACCAACAAAGCTCAAAGCAATGCTTCAACTCCTTTATTTTATTTGAGAAGTTTTGAGTTTATCAAATAAATGAATACGTGTTTTCTTAAGATGATTCGTGAACCCCTTCAAAGTTCATATAGATTTTAAAGTTTTTTCTCTCCGTTAATTTTTTGTCTGGTTTATGCATGTATTAATAATGTCTCTTATTTGATAGTTAGAAATTAATACCTTTGAACATTACACTGAAGAAAATCTTATCTTTTAATATCAAGCTTCTTCCGTAGACATTATCAAACCCTATGCAAATTGTTATCAAGCGCATCTATATCACAGTAGTTCTTAAAACTTTTGCTTTCAATCTCGGAATAATAATTAAGAACCTTTCACAGAAAGGTTGGAAGATTGACGATTGAACATAGAATTGTTCAAACCAAGTCTTCTTTATTTACTAACTCAACTCTGATTACAGCTAGAAACGATGAACCAACACATGTAGGGTTACAAACACATAGCTTTAGGGTACCAACTCAAACATTCTTGATCATCAATATGCACACGTACGTACATGAAACCACCAAGGTTTGCATCATACGGGGCCCTAAACTAGTTCCTCCACCTACAAATCTCAGTAACTCCTTGCATACATATCTTATATATATCTTACCAACAAGCATATCTACCATTCATTACTCATCCAACACCTCAAGACTTGTGCATATATACATACATATGATGCATCTTAGCCAACTAAATAATACCATTTAATTTCCTCCTTGACCAGGTGTGCCATAATCTTTGCGAGGGATGTAATGGTGATTGAACTCCTCACTCACTGTACGTTGGGCAGATCCAGGTTTTCCATACTCCTTTCGAGGAATTTGATGGTGACCATCATCATCAGATTCATTACTGAGTCCTCCTTTCTCCAATTTGGTCATTAATTTCTTCCTATCAGTAGCCACAGAAGAGCTTGGCAGCAGCATCAACACTAGTAATGTAATCACCACAAGCTTCATTCTCTTCAATACTATCTGGATCAATTTGCTTTATATATCCACACACAAAAAAGTTAGCTCATGTTATATATATAAGAGGGAAATTAAGAATGAGCCATACAAATATATACACGTATACGTACAGGACATAGGATCAATCAAGAAACTAGCAGCATGTTTAGTTAACTTACCAGATGATGGTATGTACCCTTTTGTGTGATCTTACATGGGAGAAGAAAGAAGAAGGTTGAAGCAGCTTAAATAGGAGCATATGGAATGAAAATAAATGTGAGATAGGGAAATGGGAAGTCAATTTCAAATAGTATCATGGTGGGGCTGAAAACCATTGACGTTGATGCAAAGATTAAGTGCGATGCCCATTAATATTGTTAATAATTTGTCTGTTTTTCTATGTGGACTAAATAGGGAAATTCCACCTAATGGAGGGACATTAGACTCGTAGGTAGAATTAATTATATCGTTGATTTCTTTTATTTTCTTTCTTTCTAGTACCTTTTTTTTAAAGAAAAAAAATGTATGTGGTCTGTCCAACTTTGATTGAATGTTTGGAAATACAACAAGTAGAATAATCATTTCAAATCTACCTCTTTAAAATGACCAGCAATAAGAACGCTTTTACTCGTTAAGATTATTTTAATAATATTTTATAATGATCTTTGTAGCTAATGGATTGATGCTTCCAGAAATATGTGATTTAATGTTGATGGGATATTTAGGGTTGATTATATTTAATAGATCTTATTAAGTCTAACAAAAAAGAAGCTTAACCAAAAAAAATTACTTTTATTATTTTTAGTTTTCTTTTTAATATTCCTTTATCATCAATTTAAATTTCTTTATTTAATTCTAATAAAAAATATAATATGATATATATATATATATATATATATATATATATATATATATATATATATATATATATATATATATACTTCAACGTGACTAATATGTGAAGTTAATATAAATATATGTCATGTATTTCAAAAACTCTACGTTAATAAATATTGCGTTTTTTATTAAATAAATTAAGAATTTACTTAAAAAATAAAATAAATATTAAAATAATAATATATTAAAATTAAAAAATAATGAAATGAAATAAAAACTATTTAACGAAGAAGAAAAGAAGGGTGTAATTAATCATATATTTAAAAATTTTATGTTTTAGTGTAGAAGTGAAATTTTTATGTATATAATCCCGCTGTCAATTAAAATATGATTTCGTAGGTTGATAGGTATGCTTGATTAGAATCGAGTGTATCTTTTTTATATGATGTAATTCTATTTTTAAAACTTATTTTAACATTTATGATAATTTATTTAAAAATATATAAGGTTTAATCCCAGAAATTTAAATTTTCACACTATCAACTCATTAAAAATGATCCTAAATACAAAATTTTACCATTTCCAACAATATGACAATCCAAATCGAAAACTTATATTATAAACCTTTTTATATTGTGAGTACATTTCATTTAAAAATGTGATATATTTTATAGAGTTTAAAGAAATAATGGCAGCGCATATTGGGTAAAACAATTTTATATAGTCATTTAAATCATTATTAATATAGTTTTTAAGGTAAGTATTCCAAAACTCAGCAAGCTTACAGTTAATTATAGTCTGTTTCTCCATATTTTAAGTAGAAAGTAATTTTTTTTACATAGAAAAATATCTTAATTAACTTTTATGTTATTAAGAGCATCGTAATTTTCTTTTTAATTAAATGGTTGAATTAAAAGACAGACAAAGTATAGAAACAAAGCAAATGTTCGATGTATATATATATGTAGCTGAGTTATCGATATCAACTCGAGAAATTCATGCATACCAATATGGAGATGAGATAAGAACTGTGAGGCTTTGCATCATCAATGGCACCTTAACCTAGTTCCCCAGCAATTCCTTGCATGCATTATTATGCACGTACGTTGTAGTGGTACCAACGTACACACATATATATACATACATATATATCATGTTCTAAGCATTTCCTTCGGGGCCAGGTTGACCAAAGTCCTTGCGAGGAATATCATGATGACTGACTGTACGTTCACCTGGTCCACCAGTTCCAGGAGTTTGAGGGATAATAGCACCACTATAACTGTTCAGAGGGATTTGATGTTCTTGCATTTTGGTCACCAAACTCATCGTATTCATAGCCACACAACAACTTGAAAGCATCAGAAGAAGTGTTAGTGCAATGCCCATAACCCTCATTCTCATCTTTCTTCGTCACTCTTTAAAACTACCAAACTGCATAATCAATTTAGTTATAATTAGCCACACACAGTGATGTGAGATTATGACATAAACGCATATATGTATACTGAATATGAAGACAGATATGGTATTAAACAGAGCTGAAGAAGAAGAAGAGAGAGATAATGAGTGAGTATAATTTATGCACAAAACTAAGATGCTATCGCTATATGTGGCTTTGTGATTTGTATGATCTAACACGAAGAAAGAATGAGGTTGAAGCTACTTAAATAGGGCATAGCTAAGCATGGGAATGATAATGATAATATAGTGGTGGGGTTGTCACCAATGACGTGGGAGGCAATATGAAGTGCGATGGCCATTAAATTTGGTAGCGAAACAAATAAAATGATGACATGTTTTGTCCATATTTCTATGTGGTCTAAATAGGGAAATTCCACCTAATGCAAAGGCATTATTGGCGATATGGGTTACTATCCAATTTGGTATCCAGGATTTCTTCGTTTTAATGGTCTCACCAACTTGGTTGAACTGTGGGAAACACAATGAGGTGAAGAATCATATCAAATCTACCTGAAGGAATAAAATGTGAAGTAGAATTTAAACAAGTAAAACGGTGAAAAAAATAATAGATCATTTATCAGGCTAAGTGGTGCTTAGTAACACCATTTCATTGTAAATAAGAAAAACTTGTGATATGTATCACAATTTTAGAGTAATTTTTTTGGTGCCATCGTTCGAAGGTTCACTGTTAAGGCTTGAGCATCTTCCACTCTATGCAGCAGTTGTAAATCTCGTATTAATACAATTTCACTCTCAATTGAGTATAATTGTACTATATATCAAGCAAGATTTTATTTAAAAATAAAATATTTATTTAAAAAAAATTACATTAAAATCATGTTATCAAATACAACTTCTTTGAGCGCGCATGTGTATATATATTGGCAGGATATGGAGGGGTCAAATAATATATTATTAATAAATAATAAATAAATATAAAATGAAGAAAGAGTTAAAGGATAAAATTGTAGATATATACTTAAATATATTAAATGATCATTAAGTTTGAGGGAAAAAAATCATAAATTATATGAGAGTTATAAAACTGAGGAGGGGCTGAGAGGATAAAATTGTAAATATATAAATAAATATATTAAATGTTCATTAAGTTTGAGGGTGCAAAATCATAAATTACATTGAAGTTACAAAACTTTAAGGGGGTCATAGCCCCCTTAAGCTCTCAAAAAGATCTGTGACTATATATATATATATATATATATATATATATATATATATATATATATATATATATATATATATATATATATATATATATATAACATTGACCATTGTAGAAATGAAGATAAAATCTCACTTCACTCGTATATATTATTTATTAGGGTTATGTATACTTATAAGTTCTATATATCTTAAAAGTTTAGGTTAATGATAGTTTATATACACTTTTATATTTTAATTCATTGAAATGTTTTTTAAAAATAAAATTGTGATGGACTAAAGTTCAAATATGAATAATACATTGAATATAATAATTTATCATAATAATATTATCATATTAGATATGAGACCGATACACTATCCTTCCTAGACGGAACATTGACATCCACTATAGGGTCGAGAGCATAATATAACTTCACTCATACCCTTTAGTCCTCAACTGAAGGTTTATATTCTGATATGTTTACGAGTCTTATATCGTCTAGGGGTCAAAACCAAGGGTAGACACTCTCCTCTTTTAACACCGAAATGTCTTTTAATTATAAAATTGGGACGGATAAAAGTTCTAAAACGGATAATACCTCGGACATAAAAATTGATCCTAATGATCACTACTACAAATAAGGTTTTCCACGTCGGTTCGGAAGGCCTTCAACGGCGGTTCCAGAACCGACGTTGTATCAGGCGACGTTGAAAGTCCTGACTTTCAAATCAAAAATTTTGATTTATTTCCAACACCTCTCCCCTCTCTCTATTTATCTAGAAATCTCCCCTCTCTTTTATATTATATTTTTATTATTTATCATCTTTTTTTAAAGTTTAGAGCATTACCAAATTAATTTTTTGTCACTGACAGATTCGAACCCAAGTACCTTAGTGTTGGAGACTCGATACTCCAACCACTAAACTACTCGAATTTTTTGATAATAACTTACAAATAAATTATATTTATATACAAATAAATATATATCCGTGTAAATATATAAATATATAAATATAAATATATTTATATATTTTGATATATTTATATAATTATATATTTATATGTTGGATGTGAGGGCACGCTCGAAGGTGAAAGTGTGTCGAGTGAGTTTTCAAAATTTGATGTCAAATTTGTGAGCGAGTCTCTTTATATGGGTTTGTAATTTAATGACAGAATATAATATTTATAATTTATTAATGATATAAAATAAATATGAGAAACGCATCATTCGCTCAAGCGAAAAATACCAATTTTTGCTCAAGCGAGGCTTGAACGAGTGAATTTCCGTGAGTTTTAACGTATTTTCACTCAAGCGAGAGTCAATCTCACTTTCACCCTCGAACGCGCCTTCACATCCAACATATAAATATATAACTATATAACTATATAAATATATATAAATATATCAAAATATATAAATATATTTGTATTTATATATTCTATATTTATATATTTGCACGAATATATATTTATATGTATATAAATATAATTTATTTGTAAATTATTATAAAAAAATTATAGTAGTTTAGTGGTTGAAGTATCAATTTTCAACTCTAAAATATTGGGTTCAAAAAATCCTGTTAGTGACAATTCTCTAACTTAAGTAAATTTTTGGCTGAAAAAAATAAAAACACTTTCCGGAAAATATATATATTTACACGGATATATATTTATTTATATATAAATATAATTAATTTGTAAGTTATTATCAGAAAATTACAGTAGTTTAGTGGTTGGAGTATCAACTTTTAACTCTAAAATATTGGGTTCGAATCCTGTCAGTGACAATTCTCGAACTTAAGTAAATTTTTGGCTGAAAAAAAATAAAAACACTTTCCAGAAAATATATATAAATAAATATATATTTACACGGATATATATTTATTTGTATATAAATATAATTAATTTGTAAGTTATTATCGAGAAAATTACAGTAGTTTAGTGGTTGGAGTATCAACTTTCAACTCTAAAATACTGGGTTCGAATCCTGTCGATGACAATTCTTGAAATTAAGAGAATTTTTGGGTGAAAACACATTCAACGTCGGCTCATCCGGGAACCGACGTTGAATGTCTAAATTAAAAGACTTTCAACGCTCGGCTCATCTAGAACCGACGTGGAAAGTGCTTTCTACGTCGGTTGACTAAGAACCGACGTAGAATGTGTCTAACATTCCACTTTCAACGTTGGTTCATCTAGAACCGACGTGGAAAGTGCTTTCTACGTCGGTTGACTAAGAACCGACGTAGAATGTGTCCAAACGTCGGCTCAGCTTTAACCGACGTTAAATGCATAAAACTTGGTACTTGGTCTAATAATATTATCATAACGAATATGAGACCAAATCAAATTATCTTAACTAGCCTTTTGAAGAATGTATATATTTTTTTTAAATAAAATGATTATAAAAAAATTTACAACTGACTTAGAGTAACTCAACCAATTTGTAATTCATTTCTTTTATTAAAAGATTAGTTATATCTCTCTATATAAAAATTTATGATAATATGAAATTATTTTGTAGAAATTGAGATAATATACATTTTAAAGTAAACTAACTATTTGCTGAAGTTGTAGGTAGAACAAGATGTGAAAAGTCTGGCTGATTTTTATGAAGACTATAATAATTCTTTTACGCTAAAACTAATATATTTTTCAGTACAAAAATATTTTATTTTAAAATTGAAAAATACATGTGAATATATTGAAGTTATAGACATAAAAATTTATTTGGATTTGTTAAATAAACAATTAATGATGAAAACAAATTAAAGAATAAAAGGGGATAAACTATTTTTTATGTCTATAATTTGAATATATGTGAATGTATTGAAATTATACACATAACATTTTTTTTTTTTGCATTGTTATAGTGAACAATTAATGATAAAAACAAACGAAGGAATAAAAGAAGATTAATTATTATTTTTCATAAATGATATGATATCTTATATATAAATATTAGTCAAGTAGAAGTTGACATGTGAAGGAAGAACTGAAAGAGTTATCACGTAACAAAAAAAATTATACATTATAGTAATAGATAATATATATTTAGTACGATTAAAATCAAATATATTTATAAAAATAATTTATATTTAAATCATACAAACAATTTGTACTTATAATTTTGTAATATAAATAATCCAAACACTTTATATAAGCTGAAACAATTTTGAAAAATAGTTAATAAAAAAATTACTACTGATGTTACCTCTAATATTATTTCTAATGCAATCAATATATATATATATATATATATATATATATATATATATATATATATATATAGCTTTATGTGAACCTGATTACATTAATCATAATTCAAAATAAATTAATATATTAAACAATTTTTATTTATTTATTGAAAATCAAATAGTTTATATTGATTGTCAGATTTTCGTTTAAGATATCTATCATTAAATAAATTAATAAAGAACTATAGAATTTCATTTCATCATATACGAGTTTGACTATAGAACATATCCTACAACTTAACCACAAAAAATGAAATCACTATGATCAACTCGACCTTGACCTTCTTTAGTGGGGTGGTTCACTATCTTGTCAAATCAATTTATATTTCGTAAATGATAAAGAAACCTATGAGATTGTTCTTTATCTTGTGGCTTCCCAAGTCACCCTTTTTTTGTACGTGTTGTCCTCTTCTTCTAAAATGATAGTTTTAGATATTACTATTTTGTTACCCAGCATAACAAAATATTTAAATTAATATATAATTCAAATTAATTTATGTTTATTGAGATTTAAAAAATTTATGTTCTTAAATTTACTATTTATAATACACAAAAGAATTTAAACACTTCATTCATACTGTAAAAATTAACACTAAAATTGAAAAGTAAAAAAAAAAAAAGGATAAATAAAGTTTCTGAAGACCACAAATAATTGTAAAAGTGTATTAAAATTAATTAAGTAAATTATTAGCTCAAATAAATATATGCAACCTTTAGCATATCTCATAAATAGCATTTGTGTTTTCATAAATTTTAATTTTAATTTTGATCGTACAGTTACTTCTTCAATTAATACAAATCATAGAAAAAAAAACTTTTTTTTGCTTTTTTATATAAACTGCTAACGATATATATTAAGAATATTTACATGCTATTAGTATATTTTCACATTCATATAAATAAGAAAAAACTAATCACCAAATGTATATACGTTAAAAGTAGTTACATTGTCAATTTGAAATTTAATTAGATCAGAAATTTTACTCTGCCATCATGAGCAATATTTGTAGTTATTTTAGTCGTATCATGAAAAAAAAAATATTATATTCCATTGATACCACATATATAACAAAATCATTGAAAAATCTAAAACTTCAAACAAAATAAAATCTAAAGGTTATGTCATAAATTATGCAAAAAATTTAAATAATGTAAAGTGTTACATAATAAAATGAATTTATATAAATTAAAACAACAAATTCTGCATTGAAATAATATAAATATTTTCTTGTCGTTAAAAACCTTTTGGTTGAATTACGGTTGATATTGCCGAAGTTTTTATTAGGGTTATGTTAATGATAACGTACGGTGAATAAAACTAAAACTTTGAACAATGGGATGAAATCACTGTTCAAGTCGTTTAAAACTTCAAAAAGATTTTTTGATAGTTTTCTGTAGGAAAATTCGCAAAGAAAATCTAAATGCACAATACATAAATATATATTGGAAATAAAAAAAAATTCAAATGTAAAATATGTTTGACTGAAAATCTAGGGCGATTTTATTGATATACTGTATTTCAAGCTTTAAGCATACTTCTACGTCATATCTTCAACTTCCTTTGCGATGTTTCTTTAAAATATACTGTTATTTCTATTGCTCTTTTAATATATTTCTTAAAAATGTACCGAAAGAACATCTGCTATATATTTATTTTATTATTATCAGAAAATTATAATCACATGTCGAAAACTTCTTTTGGTATGAGAGATTGAGAGCACTTCACGCAGTTGCATGCATTTTTCTATTTGCTTTCTATTCTGTGATGGACTGTGAGCCAATTACGTCGTTTCAAAACTTCAAAATAGTACATAAGGTAATATAAGCTTGGCTTTAGTCAAACTACGACTCGTCGTTGCAAAGTGAATTAATCTTTTTCAAAAAGCATATTTTTGGAATTAATTCACTGAAGCACAACATGCTCCATAATTAAGGACACAATTGGTGCTTGTAGAAATGTCCATGTTTAAACCACACATGTATTGTTGGTAGAAAATGGGAAATTTTTTAGTGGTTTCTAAAATTGCTAAGGTACAGTGCTAAAGATGAAAGTGTCTTGAATGACGTCAAAGTAATCGTTTACACATTTCAATATCCTTGACCCTTTATATATATATATATTCCCAGTATCTATTAATTTCCGTACCCTGTGCTTGTCTATGAATATAGCACCTTTCAAATCCTCACACAATTACATCGATCAAATATCACAGCAAAAACTCCGAAAGACGTTAAGTAAAATGGAAAATCTTACCAAGCAAGCTCTGATTTGCAGTTTATTAACAGCACTTGTTTTGTTATCATGTCCAGTAGCTATGTCTCAAGAAGTTGGTGAGAATCTTTTTGCCTAGTTGATTACTTTTGCATGCATGCATGCATGCGTCGAAAAATTAAAAGGAATTGAAATACTCTCTCAGTCACATACATAGTTATTTTTTGGGTCTACGATAGATTGAACTGACAGCTACGTAGGTCTAGGATTACGAAAATAGAGGACAGAATGTAAAGAGGAAAAAGGATATATGTTTTTATTCATACCCTTCATAGATAGTGCTCTTCTTACAGAAACGTTACAGAAACATTGATAGTTTCTTTTTATGGTAAAGAATTTAAAATGGGAATTGATTCATTGTTTGATGGCACATGCAGATAACGAGTCCGAGTTTACTTATAATACGAATGACAAGACAGGACCAGATAACTGGGGTGATATAAAATCTGAATGGAGTCTATGCAAAAAGGGATCCCTGCAATCCCCGATTTCTTTGTTGAATGGTAAGGTTCGAAGAGTTACCAATTTGGGGGAACTTAAGATCAGCTATAAACCAACCAAAGCAGATATCATGAATAGGGGCCACGATATCAAGGTTAGTCAATACCAAAATATTTAATTATTTATTATGCAGTTAAAGAATATGAGTTTTCTGCTCATATATTTTCTTTCTGTGGTCCCTTTACCAAGGTTGTTTGACTCTAATTCTTTGTAAACAGTTGGAATGGCTTGAGAACAAAAGCCATATAGAAATTGAAGGAACTAAGTATATTCTTCAACAGTCCCATTGGCATTCTCCCTCTGAACACGCCATAGATGGCACAAGGTACATATTTAGGTTTTCAAGGTGTTATAATTCTGATCCATATCCAAATATCTCTTCAACACATAATTGTTTTTAGAATAATAAACTATCAATTATTTAGCATGACTGTTAAGATTTGAGAGATTATTTGCATGATTTATTTCTATATTAATGAGAAAGTATTATTTTACATATAAAATTCATAATCTTTATGTTTTATTATCAACAACTAAATGAATTTCTGGGTTTGGCCTCCCATTAAAATTAGAATAAAAATATATCAAGTTAGACTATTTTTCATTCTCCAACTATTCACCACAAAGATTTAACCCTTACATAAATTAACTAAATCTTACAAATATCCAAATTTAAGTATTTTAGCTGAATATCAATTACTTTCAGATTGGATCTAGAGTTACACATGCTGCACCAAGCTCCATCAGGACAAATTGCAGTGTTTGGAATTGTTTATAGGGCTGGACTTCCAGATCCTTTCTTGTCATTGGTACATTATAATTAAAGATATCAGTGTCTCTGTCTCTGTTATGACTTAACACTAAATTTCTCATATATACTTTCTACGTCTTTTCTAGTTAACCCAACACTTGAAGGCCATTTCTAGTAACATTGGAGCAAAAAGAGATGTGGGTGATCTGGATCCTAATCTGGTTATAAAAGGCGCAAGCATAGCAATGTATTACAGATATATTGGTTCCCTGACTACTCCTCCATGCTCTGAGAATGTTACTTGGATCTTGCTTAGAGAGGTTAATTTGCTCTCTCACTTATGATTTACAGATTTAGCAGTATTTGGAATATTAATTATGTTATGATTTTTCCTTATTTTCCTTGAAATTTTATACTCTACTCAATCTTTGTTATTCATCAGGTGAGAGCCATTTCTCAGGAACAAATCACATTGCTTCGAGAGGCCGTTCATGATGTAAGTGACTAAAGTTTTTCACATATCTGCTTAAAGGATAGGCATAGATGATAATAAACAGTAAATTATCATATAATTGGAAAATATTAATCTTTACAATAATGATTTAAAAATGCAAGTGCTTAGATTGAGAATACTAAAATCAAGTTCTGTAAAGTGAGAGTCAAATTAGATTCGATCATTCATTATAAAGGGATGATTATATATGTTGATAGCCAAAGTCATACAAGGGTATTGCTTTCAACTTTTTCTTGTTTTGTTAATAAATTTTAAAATGTCATCTTGTACCTTGTGGAAGATGAAGTTACATGATGCTTATGCTTTAAACTTTACCTGTACTTAATTTGCAGCATTCAAGTACCAATGCAAGACCATTGCAACCATTAAACGATCGCTTAGTGGAGTTCAACGATCCCTGAGATCAACATTAATGTTTCAAGGCATTGACGACGGCATATATATACATATTTAAACTATCAGAAATATGATGTGAAATTTTGGTCGGAGAGTGGCTTTTCACATGCAGTAGGTTTATTTCATGTTTTAGGGTTTATGTATTTTCAATTTAATTTTCGTTTTGTCCATATCCATTAAAATAACTACACAGTTTTTCATTCTTATCGACATGATGTTCTGTTATTTTTATTTAAGACTGAAATTTTGTTATTACTTACATTGTAATTTGGAAAGGTCAAGGATCCGAATAATTTATATTTTAATTTTGACTAACTATATCACAAATTACACTAGTATTATAATAAAATATTATTTTTATTGATCCAACTATTTATAATATTAAAAACACACGAGGTACAAGTGTAATTTATTTGCTTTATATTAGTTATATCTTTAATTAATGTTTTACCTTAAAACTATAATTACGACAACTCTCAAATAGGTTAAAATTAAGATAAACTAGATAAAACTATAGTTAAAACAATTTGTTAAACCTCTACTTACACTTAAGATTTCCAACTTATAACAAATTTCAGTGTTCCAACAATGAATGTAGAATTAGTTATGACATAATGTAAAAAAATAAAATAAAATAAAAAACTCATATATGTGATAATAAAATGACATAATGTTTGCACTCAAATAAGCATTTAAAGAAAGATACAAATCTCTAAAAAGAGCTTCATTTCCTAATTATTAGAAGGAAAATGATACTTTGACAACTCAAATTCATACAACTCCCTGAAACAACTCTGTTTTAATATTATAATAATAGTTTTATTTTATTTTTATTTTTTTTAAATCAGTCTATAGATTATTATATTAATAAAAGTGAGTTGTTTGAAGAGTTATATGGTTTCTGGTTGTCAAAATATCACTACTCTTGTTAGAAAACTTGATCAAAAAGAAGGAAAATAAGGAATCTGCTTTTCTTATATCTTCCAAAGACTAAGTGCTGAGGTGATGATTCACCTGTGTTCAAGGACAAAGATCGGTGACATTACTGAAGGCCAATTACTATTTAATAACCACAAACATGAGAGGCAAACAGCAGCAAAACTCATGGGGTAATATAATATAATATATGTAACATTTCTCACATTTCATAATTACAAGCTTAATACATATTTTCTCATTCTGATCTTGGCTAAATCATTTTTGCAAGGACTTTCATGATATCATCCATACTTGGCCTATGCAGTGGATCATCTGCCACACAATTCTTTGCTAGAAAAGACAAACATAAAGCCTCAGGAAGAGAGTAATCGTTCAGATTAGGATCCACGAAACTTCTTAACCCTTCAAAACAACCCCCTTCACTGGCTTCCCCCAACAAAAATCCAAGGGAATCTTTGACTGGTTTTCCCTCAAAGTTGTCCCTTCCTGAGATCAGCTCAAGCAATACAACCCCAAATGCAAAAATGTCAACCTTTTCAGAAACTGAGCCATGTGAGAGGAGCTCTGGTGCCACCAGTCCTTTGGGAATCTCCGTACTATCATTGCTTTTGGTGAGTGTTGCACTAGAATCCAATGCCCTTCCAACATCTGCCAGTTTACCCCTCCAGTTGGCTGTTATGAATATGTTTCTACTACTGACATTCATGTGAGCATAGGAAGGAAAAGAACAGCAATGTAAATAGTAGAGACATGTTGCAATATCAAAGGCTATTTGTGTCCTTTTGAACCAATTTAGAGGATTGCATGGATCAGATAAGCAGTCCCTTAAGCATCCGTTCTTAGGCAACTCAAAGACTAAATAAGACCATGAATCATTGCTCACACCATAACAAACACCAAGCAATTTCACAATATTAATGTGGTTGATTTTAGAGTGTAAATCAATCACCTGGCGTGTGTCTTCCATCCTCATCCTCTTTATCATCACCTCAAGATTATTGACTGTGCCCTTGTAGACAAAGTCACCCTGATTTCGATAGATGTTATTTTCTTGACTGAAATTCTTGGTTCCCTTATGGAGCTCCTCGATGGTGTAATTGAGTAGGTAGTACTTTATTCCAATGAGAAGATCTGGGGACAGGCACCAAGTTGTATTGCTTTTAGCCGTTTGGGTAGAAATCTGAGAGCTTCTAGTTGGTGACCACAAAGTGAGGGAGTTTGTTGGACTGAAAGAATGGACAACATCCCTTTTCTTCAATCTCTTCATGTAAAATCCGCTTGCAAGCAATATTATGAACAACAAAAATCCAATAACATATCCTGCAATGTACAAATTTGATGGTTGTGTGGATTCTTGTGTCTTGACCACTGTGGGAAGGAAGCCAGGAGGTGGAGAAGGAGAATCAGGAATATCAAGTATTCTGATCGGACCATCCATTAATGGAACTAAAACAACTGTTTCAGGATAAACAGTCGACCACAAATTCAAGTTATTAACAGCATAAATATCTTCAGATGAAATGCCAAATTTTTCACTCACTTTGTCAGGATCATCATTCTGTATAAGAGGGTATGTGACAAGGTACTTCACCTTCTTGCTCCTGGTGAAATTCTCGGTGTGAGGACAAGCACATGTGAGAGGTACATGAAGCTCAGAACCAGCTTCTGGTTGATTACCTTGTGAAGGGTTTTCCTCAGCCAGTGTGAGATGTTTGAGCAGCCCCTCAAAAACACCACAAGCAATTTCCGAAAATGTTGTGTTGTTAAGGACTTCATAGCTTAAATTGGTTAGATAATAATTGCCAGAGCAGGTGCAGTTAACAGGAATAATCACCTCCTTACCCTGTTTGAGCTCAAGAGACAAAGAGGAAGATGTGAGGTTGTTCTTTAGAAGCACCTCATCAGAGCTCTTGTTGAAGAGCTTCGAGACTTTGGAAATGGTATTGAAATAGTTGTTAGCTCTGTAAACCAAGAATGTTTCACATGAATCCTGCGTTGACTTGCAACTGTACCTTGTCGCTAGCCCAGTTTCATTTGAAGTACAATTATTTTGGTCGTAAGCAGAGCACAGACCCAAGAACATCCAAGCAACAAACCAAAGACGAAACATAATTTTGTGGACAAGTACAAAACTTCCCATGAAGGGATTTCTCAGTAGCCACTGGTATAGTATATTAGAAAGAAAAATGAAGGGAAAACAGAAGAAGAGGATGCAAAATCAAAGTGATAAATTTGACCACGCTTGAACTTGAGTTTGAGCTTGAGCTTGAGTTTGTTTTCATTTGAATTGGATGATTCATTGATGGCTTCCAAATAAAGATGACATTAGAGTTGAAGACCATTTGACCAAAAACGTACTCAGAGTTTGTCAACATGTGTCGTCAAATGCATAAAGGCGTAAGAAGCCGGCAGAAAAAAACAAATGGCTACTCGAGACTAAACTTAACTTTTGTATATTATAATTGTTACATGATGTTTGTGCTGTTTCTTTCCACCTGTTTCTTACCAATCATATTCAATATCTTATGTGCTGTTTGTCGCCATGTCAGGAACTAGGCCCTTCCTCTCATTCACACACGTTGCAGCCAATCAAATATGCCAAATCAACACCCAATGCCCACAAAAACAAATTTTGTAGGTTATTCATTGTTTTTTTTTTTCATGGATATATTCCACGTAATATTCCGCTGGTTAAATATTATTTTACCCGTAACCGAGCTAGTGATTATATTGACTAGGGTTTATCAGCCATTCACGAAAATGACCACTACAAGAAAATAATTTATTACTGACGGATATTTACCGACGGATATGTAGACGTCGGAAAATTAATGATTACCGACGGAAATTACCGACGGATATTCAGACGTCAGAAAATTAATGATTACCGACGGAAATTACCGACGGATATAATAAAATTGTAGAATTTGGTCTTACCGACGGATATATCCGTCGGTAAATGAAGAATTAATTACCGACGGATATATCCGTCGGTAAATTAACACTTAATTATATCACCTTTAAGCCCGCACGACCAGCACCACTCCCATCCCTTTCTACATCTCATTCGCTTCTCCTCTCCCACTCATCCTCAAGCCTAGATCTGCGCAGCACAACCACTTCCAGTCATCACCAGCAGCCAACACGTCTCCACTAGTGCCTATTGTGAGCCCTAACCAACCCCCGCGAACCATCACTACCAATTGCGCCCCAATTTGATTTGTGACCCTCTCATTGCAACCGGTCATTACCTCACCGGTCCTCCGCCATCACGCCAACCACCGCGCACCTTCGAACCACCATCCAACAACACTCCCATTCCTTTATTGATCTCATCCACTTCTCCTCTCCCATTCATCCTCAACCCTACATCCGCGCGCCACGACCACCTCCGGCCATCACCTTGCAGCCAACACGTCCCCAATAGTGGCTATTGTGAGCCCCAACCAACCACCGCAAACCACCATTACCAGTTGCGCCCTAATTGGATTTGCGACCCCTTCATTGGAAATGGTCATTACCTCACCGGTCCTTCACCACCACGCCAACCACCGCGCACCTTCGAACCACCATCCAACACCACTCCCATTCCTTTCTCGATCCCATTGATTTCTGCTGTTCCACTCATCCCGAACCCTAGATCCGCGCACAATAACCACCTCCAGCCATCACCAGCAGGCAACACATCCCCAGGTAGTGGCTATTGCACCCCAATTCGTGAGCCCCAACCAACCACCGCGAACCACCACTGCTCGTTGCACCCCAATTCGTTGCGAGGTTTTGTACCTTCCTTTGCTTGGTTATGGTTTTTAATTTTGTATTGTTTTGATTTTCTCCAACTCATGAATTTCCTTATTTATGCTGAAAATTTGATCAATGCGCTTAGATAAATGAATTGGAATGATTACTGTAGTGAAAATTTAAGGTTGTTTTCTTCGAAGCCAAGGGAAGAATTTATGACCCTCCTTTTCCCAAATAAAACAGAATAAGAAAGACATTCAAGTTCAAACATTTGTTGTCTTCTTGCGAGTTAAAATGCTTAAACATGTTTTGACGAGTAGTTCCGAAAGGTGAAATGATATCCCAATTCTGAGTGGTGCTTGATGGAAATCAAATATGAACAGGGGAATGATCACACAAAGTTTATTGAATGAAATCCTTAAATTCGGAAAAGTTGATGTATTTCTATGATATTCTTGGTTTGCTGAGTTGATGTATTTCTTCATGTTTGATTTAGCTGAATTCGGAAAAGTTATTGCTTGTTGGACCTGGCATTCACGAGTAAGGATGGGAAGCTAATTCCGAGTGGTCGTTAACGAAGGCGATACTTGTTCTTTTGCCGAGTATGGGGAAGCTGAGGTGAAGCTTGACAACAAAGAGTATGTATATGTTTTTTATGTCCTGTTATTAGCTTATTTTTTAGGCTCATATAATTCTTCCACTTTATCCTAAAGTTTAATACGGTAGATATAAATGTTGATGGTTACACTTGAGCTTTGTTAATTTTGTGTATATAACACCTGGAAGATTTATTTCCTTGTTCCAAAGTTGATTGATTCCTTTTGGTCTAAATTCTACTTGGTACTTGTCTTCTTTGTGAATCATTGTAACAAGTTTCGAAGAAGGAAACTTTACGCATCTATGCTTAATATTGTGTATCCAATATTTAGAATTTCTTTGTTTGATGCTTCATACATTATGTAATCTGATGTTTCTTTTGTATATGCCTAGATATAGAGCTATAGGACTTGAAACTGTTATTGGAGTAAAATAATATTTTAGAACTTTTAAATTAGAGGTAATGATAATTTATCCGGGAATTTTTCAAGCAATGGAGTGGAGGATTTATTCTATTATGATTTGCGATAGTTTATTCCACTTTCGTGCATTTCCTTCCATCTTGTCTCTTTGCATAGGTTCTTGTTTAGACCATTTTCTGCAAGAAAATAAGAAAGTAAAATGAATTGAACTTCTGAAATTAAGATACTTAATTCTTGTAGTCTTCTCATTTAACTTCTTGTGGTTTATTTGCTACTATTTGTATTGATATCGACAATCGATATATATTAGTTGGCATGATAAATTTATGAAGTCGAGTTTCTTTACGGCTTGAAGATGCTATTGTACTGGAAAATGTTTGGGAGTTTTGTGAGTGAGGAATGTGGGATTTTTGTTTCAAAGTGAAATGTTTGGTAGTTGTTTCAAGGAGTGCCTTTGGTATCCTATTTTTGTTTTTCTGTTCAACTGCATTTGATGGCATGATTTTATCCATGTGTTGATGGCTGTGTTGAAATGATAATGGGTTCAATTAACCTTAGGTCTCTATGTGCGACAGTGTCGCTCGTTTAGGAATCAATATTTGTTTAGGACAAGTTTTACAAGAAATTTCGGTGTCTTTGGATGTTAGAAACACTACATAAACAAGGTCATGAATAATTGAGAATGATTCAAATTGAAAATGATGACAGTTGTTTCCAACGGGTTGTATCACTATTTGTTATTTCGTATATATCCATGTGGAGGTGTGGGCGAAAATATGAAAAACATACGAGACTATGCTATAACTTCATGAGATTTATGAGTCCCTATTTAATTGACAATGCAAAGGTAGAAACATATTGTTGTTGGATAATACCCATGTGGAGGTGTAGTTAAAAGTATGATAAACATAGGAGATTTCTGCCAGAATTTTAAGAGCATTATGAGTCCTTAAATTTAAGTGTCAATGCAAAGGTAGAAACATACATGTGCATTAAGGTGAACTATGTGTCAGAGTTTGATACTTGAAGATGTAAGCGAGGATTCGAGAAGTTCTAGGTAGATAATGTAGTGAGTTTTAATACCTTAATGATGGTCGATCATGTAGACTTAAATAGAAGAATCAAATAAACTGGTTTGATGTACTCGATAAATGTGCAGAAATCACCAAAATTGGTAGGAAGTATTTCTTTCAAAGTAGTTTAAGATTCGTGTTTATCTGAAAAATCGAAGTGTTAACTTAAGCATTAACTATTAGGCTTAAAGTTAAATTAATAATTAAAACGTAACCCTTTCTTTCAAAAAGTGTAGTAGTTCAAACTTCACAATTCTATCATAATTTAGTCCGCACAGCTTTTGTTACTTGTTATGAAACAGTTGATATATCCCCACAATAAATGAAAAAGAAAAGAGATTGTACTATTAAATATCATCGAAAGGGAGAGCTAAGATCTATGATAATGGAAATCAAGAGAAATTGACCCACATCTATGAGTCTGTAAAATTTAGCTCCTCAAATGACTGTTCGTTTGTTTGATGTAAAAGTTTATTGTTCTATCGTTAAATACTAAAGTGATGTATGTAAAAGAAAATGAAGAAATCAAGTTAGATAATTGTTAAATTTTCTTTTATTTAGTTTGCCACTTTTTTCTCGTTCTCCATTACAGTCATTGTGGATACTTTTTCAGTTCCTCAATCTCTCTCAATTCCTTATCACTCTTCCATCTTCGTCATATTTTCGCTGTAACTGTGATAGCTTTCCGTATGACATAACTCCTTTTGTTTCTTTCATATTCTAAAAATGTTATTAAAACGTCACTGTTGCAGGTTAAGTCTTGGCAAATCAGACACCAAACAAAGGCTCCTCAAGCTGCAGGATTATCCATACTGATTTTTGAAAGGGGATTTATTTGTCCTGAGGTGAGTTCAATTCATGAATATTGACACTTAGTTAATGTTTCTATTTGTATATTTTGAGCACGTACATTAGATAACTCAGTTATTTAGATTTAATTATACCAATTACCATGTTTCTTTCACACTTAGGTTTTTTATTCATATATTTAATATAATTAACACCATGTTTCTTCTTTTTATTTATGTACTTTTTTATATAATTTGTACAATAATGTCTACTTACAGATGAAGGTTCAATGGAGACCTGAACATGAAAATCAAATAAAGAAGAATTTTCATACCAAAGCATCTCACAGAACTTAGTGAGATGTTTCTGGATGCAAGAGTTGCTGGCCAAAGGCCGATTGGATTGGAGAACATGTTTGGAGCAGGTTACTAGAACATTGGAGCTCACCCATATATCGTTCCAAATGTGTGCAGGCCCAAAAGAACAGAGCATCTGAAAAGGGGGGAAGCCTACACACA